ATGTGATGATCAAGAGTGATCATCTCTAATGATCACTAGTTTAACATCCTCTCTCAGTCTTTACTGTTTTATACTGGAGTATTTTCTCTTTCTCGTAAGGTTATCTTTCCAGGGTGTATAGTAGCACCTCAAACACCATTTGTTAAATGAATAATAAATGTATGTCTACATGTCTATTGGAAATATTTAATTTTTTCCCAGTATTTGCCTCTTTCCCAATATTTTTAACCGTTATATTGATATATAATAAATTACACATATTTAAAAAACAATGTGATGGATTTTGGCATTTGTACACACCCTTCACCCTGATGAAGGATATGTGTTTCTCATGCCCACTTATAAGGATTTTTCTCCCAACCCTTCCTGTCTCTCCTTTCCCCAAGTGACCACTGATCTTTCTGTCACAATAGTTTGCTTTTTCTAAAATCTTCTATCAGTAGAATCATACAGCATGTACTCTTTTTCATCTAGCTTCTTTCCTACAGCATAATGTTCCTGCAGACTGACCTCTGTGAGTGTTTGTTCCTTGTTTATATGTTCCACTTGTCGATGAACATTTGGTTCCTCCTAGCTTTGGCGCTACTGCAAATAAAGCTGCTAAGATCATTCTTTGTACAAGTCTATATGTGAGCATAAGCTGTCTCTTCTCTCGGGTCAGTAGGCAGCAGTTAGTAATACCTGGATCCTATGGTAGGTATATCATCAACTTTTGAAGAAAATGCCAAACTCTTTCTCAAAGTTACTCCCATTTTACTTTATCAGCAGGAGCGTATAAGACTGTAATATATCCATAGCATAAAGAAAAAAGTAACTAGCAATTTAATGTCCCACTCAGAGATAGTCATTTTTAATTGGTAGTTATTCTCATGAATACATGGGGAAAAAAAAAAACTTTACTGTTCTTCTGTGTCTTCTATATTCTTGCCAGTGCTTGGTGTAGTCAAATTATTTTTAACTTTCATCCATTCTAATAGACATGTGGTATTACCTCATTGTAGTTTTAATTTGCGTTTTCTGAATAACTAATGATGTTGAACATCTTCTTGTGTCCTTATTTGCAAGCCATGTGTCTTTTTTGGGTGAAGTGTATATTCACGTCTTTTGTCCATTTTGTAAATTGAGGGAGGTGTTTTCTTATTAAAGTTTGAGAGTTTTTAATTTTGGATATAATTACTTTGTATTACAGATGAGTGGCATGGGGCTCAAAGCTTTTTGTTGTCGTCCTTGCATGAGGATATTTAGTGGTCCTGTCACCATTTGTTGAGGTGACTGTGTTCAATTGATTTCCCTTTGGACTTTATGAAAATCAGTTGATCATATATGTGTGGCTTTATTTCTGGGTTATCTGTTCTGCCATGTTGATCTATTTGTCTCTCTTGACACTATAGCAGTATTAGTCCTTCAACTTCTTTCTTCCAAACAATTTTGGTTTTTAGTACAGTAATTCTTGTTTTTAGTACTTTAAAGATGTTGTTTATTATATTCTTACTTGCATTGTTTCCAGTAAGAAACATTGGTTATTCCAGTAATAACATTGGTTATATCCAGTAATAACATTGGTTATTCTTGAGTTTTGTTGCATTTTCATGTGTATTTTAGAATAAGTTTGCTAATTTCCATAAAAAGTCTACTGGGATTTTGATAAGGATTTTTTGAAATTCTAATAGACCTATTTAGAAAGAATTGCCATCTTAACAACACTAAGTCTTCTCATCTTTGAACACTATATATTTCTCCATTTATTTAGATCGTCTGAAATTTCCTTCATGAGTCTTTTTGACTTGTCAGTCTGTAGGTCTTTCAGCCTTTTATTTAGCATGATGTTAGCTTCAGATTTCTCAAAGATGTCTTTTACCAAGATAAGGAAGTTCTCTTCTAGTCCTATTCTCTAAAAGTGTTATCAGGAATGGGTGTTAGAATTTTTAAAATGTATTTCCTGTAGCTACTAAAATAAGCATGTTGTTTTCCTTTATAAGGTAATGGTGAATTACATTGATTTTGAATGTTAAACCTCATGTGTTGGATTTGATTTTTTAGAATTTTGTTAGTATTTTTACATCTATGCTTACGAGGCATATTGGGCTGTGTAATTCTTTTCTCATAATATCTTTGTCTGATTTCAATATGTAGATAATGCTGACTTCTTAGATGGTAAGGATTCTCTCCTTTTCAGTTTTCTGGAAGAATTTGTTTATAATTGATAATATTTCTTCCTTAAGTATTCCATAGATAACACCAGAGAACTCAACTGGGCCTAGAGTTTTCTTTGAGGGACATAGAATTCTAAATTACAAGGTGATTCTTGTTTTTAGTACTTTAAAGATGTTGTTTATTATATTCTTACTTGCATTGTTTCCAGTAAGAAATCTGCCTTTATTCTCATTGTTGTTCCCCTATATGCAATGCGTCTTTCTCTCTGACTGCCTTTTGAGCAATTTGATAATGACATACCTTGCTATGATTTTCATATTTCTTATTCATCAGTTTTTTGAGAACTTGGATCTGCATATTTAGAGCTTTATCAAATTTAGAAAATTTTCTGCCATTATTTCTTAAAATACTTTTTCTGTCTTTCCATCTCTCTCCTTTCCAGTTGCGATTATATTAAGTTACATGGTTGTCCTACAGTTCACTGATGCAGAGATTGTTTTGTTTTGTTTCATCATCTCATCTCCTGAGATTCATTCTGGATAATCTCTTGTGGTATGCCTCTCTTCAGGTTTGTTGATATTTTCTTCTGATATATCTAACATGCCACTAATCCCATCCAGTGTATCTTTCATCTTATTCAATGTAGTAATAGTTTTCATCTCTAGAAACTTTATATGGATTATTTTTATATTTCTTCTGCCTGACTTAACTTTTTGAACATATGAATGTGATATATACACTTAATGTCCTTGTCTGCTAATTCTAACGTCTGTGTTAGTCCTGGGCCAGTTTTGATTTTTACATGATGGATCATATTTTTCTGCATTTTTGCATGATTAATGATTTTTATTAGATGTCAGTAATTATGAATTTTACTTTATTGGGTGATATTTTTGTATTTCTGTAAATACTTGTGAGCTTTGTTCTGATACACAGTTAAAATGCTGGGAAAGAGGCTCAGCGCCTATAGCTCAACCGGATAAGGCGCCAGCCATGTACACCTAAGGTGGCAGGTTTGAATCCAGCCCGGACCCGCCAAACAACAATGACGGCTGCAACCAAAAAATAGCCGGGGGTTGTGGCAGGCACCTGTGGTCCCAGCTACTTGGGAGGCTGAGGCAGGAGACTCGCTTGAGCCCAGGAGTTGGAGGTTGCTGTGAGCTGTAATGCCACGGCACTCTACCCAGGGGGACAGCTTGAGGCTCTGTCTCAAAAAAAAAAAAAATGCTGGGAAAGAGTTTGATCCTTTCATGTCTTGCTTTAAGATTTGTTATGTGAAATGCACCGTCTAGGGCTTATTACTCCCCCTCAATAAGAAAGCCCTTCTGTGTACTCAAATGCCCTGTGAATTAGTATTTTTTTGGTGTAGGTACTGGGAACAGACAATATTCCTGTCCCTCTGTGAGTGTTGATTACCTTTGACCTTTCTTTCCCTGGCTTTGGGGAATTTCCTCACTTGCATGGGCCTTATGATTACAAAGATAGATGTAGATGGGGACCCTCTCTCTGTGCTCTCTGCATGTAGCTTTCTTTCTCCATTACTCTGGGAGTCTCCACCAGGTTGTTTCCTCCCATTGAGCTCATCTCAATTATTTCTTGTCTCTCAAGGATCGGTTTTTCATCCTAATGTCCAGTGTTTCAAAAACATTGTTTCTTACATTTTATCTGTGTTTTAGTTGCTTCAGGCAGAAGGATAAATCTGGTCTCACTCCATCTTGATTACAAGTACAAATCATGCCTTTTAATTTTGCTCAATTTTATTATTTAAAACATTTCAAAATTTCTTTTTAATATTTTTAACATTTACTTTTAGAAAAAGTACAATTATTTTTTATCACAACAGCTTCATCGAGATACAATTCAGATGCCATACAACTCACCCATTTAAAGTGTACAGTTCAATGATTTTTAATACATTCACTGAGTTGGGTATATTTAAAATTTTAAATGGAAAAATTCATCATCATTTACCTTAATGATATCTGTATTTGATGTCATTCCTAGAAATACTTCTGTATTTGACAGCTTATTTACCTGTAGTTTTAAAGAATGTTGTCTTTTTTTTTTTTTTTGCAGTTCTTGGAGGGGGCTGGGTTTGAACCCACCACCTCCAGCATATGGGGCCGGCGCCTTACTCCTTTGAGCCACAGGTGCCGCCCAGGATGTTGTCTTATTTTTATATTCAAATATTTTGTTAATTGGAACCCCGCATTATAGATATTTTGGAAGTAGCGAAAATTGAGGGAAAAAAACACTTGTAATTCTGTCCCTGAGCACAATGCAAGTATACATATTGATGTTTTCTGGCATGTGTTTTTCTATGCCTTTTTTATGTGGTTGTAATTCTAGTGTATGGCATTTCGTATGTTCATTGTATCAGCATATGTTATGTTGCTACATAATCTTCATAATTGCATTTTAATGGCTGAATTAGCTTTCATCAAGTGAATATGTTGCAGGATTATTACCTTGATATTTTTAAGGATTTTAGTTATTCTTCAACAGAATATACGAAACAGTCATCGAGTAGTACATTTTCTTAGGATCTCAGCTGTGCCTGCTTGCACATACTCCATTAGAGCAAGGTGCAAGTGAGGCCTTCTGACTTGACATGACATTTCATTTCTCTCTAAGGTCCACTAAGACCTTCAGTAAAATCCTCTCTCTCAAAAAATATGAAGAAAATAAAACATCAATTCTTAGTAACTCAATCCATTTCTTACTACTTATACAGGTAATAAATATAAAAACTTTATAAAATAACTTAAGATACATATTTCTTGGTATACATTAACAAGATCTCTCAATTGTTTTCTAATTGTTATTTGTGTAATATTTATTTTTAGGAAAGTTATTATTCAAATCCAATACATCATAATGCAGAATTCATTATCACTGCCACCAAAAGATCAAGGTAAGATCAGCTATCTAAGAAAAATGATAATGATAATGTGTATGACATACTGTGTATGTAATTTTAATTGATACATTTCATGTCCGTCTCCTCTAACAAAAATGAGACTTATTTTCTAGAATTAAAAACAAAAATCATAATTATATATGAAAGTTAATTTCTTTTGATTAATTATGTGTACATGGATTCTTGAGTTTTAAGAACAAGTCTTCTGTACTAGGCTAACAGCTCGCTGAGAGCAGGGCAATCTCATTCCACCTAATACTCACAGAGCCCAGCCTGTTATCTGGCAATTAGCTAGTACCAAAAGATGTCAGTGGAATTATAAAGCATTGACCATTAAACAGAATGACACAGGTATTCTTTTTTTTTTTTTCATTTGATTAAGACAGAGTCTCACTATGTTGCCATCAGTAGAGTGTTGTGGGATCACAGCTCACAGCAACCTCAAACTCTTGGGCTTAAGCGATTCTCCAGCCTCAGCCTCCCAAGTAGCTGGGATTATAGTTGCCGGCCACAATGCCTAGCTATTTTTTTGTTGCGGTTATCATTGTCATTCAGCTCCCTGGTCTGGGCTTGGACCCACCAGCCTCAGTGCATGTGGCTGGCACTGTAAGCTCTGTGCTATGGGCACCAAGTCAACACAGGTATTTTAGTACGCATAAATAGAAGAACAAGTACATACATATTTATACATGGGTATGCACACATCTATGTAGAAAAACTATTTGCTTAGGCATTTCCTTGACCTATTTCTTCCCATAGCCATTTACAAAGCAATAGAAAAATCCTTTCCCCTCTGTACAATTTATAAAAAAGAAAATCATGAGTTCTTTAAAAGAAACCTGGAGCTTCTAGAAAAACAGTTTACACATGGAGATATGGTTTTTTATTAATAAAGAATAATTAAATTGTCCTCTCCATAAAGGCTGCACTCTAACCCTTAGGAAGAATAAAAAATTATTAGAATATTCTTTATAAATTTGCAGTGTGATACTAGGAAAAAATAGTGAGCTTTGAATTTGATGGATCTAGGATCTAGGTTCAAATCTTAAGTCAGTCACTTACTGGTTAGTGATCCTGGCGGAAGTCCCCCTGGATTATGCTTGGCCTTCTAAGGCCACTAGGCACCCCCAGCAAGAAGCAGCCTCATGCCCCTCCCTCTAACTGCCCTCTGTCCAAAGATGGAGAGAGCCCAGCTATTAACAGCAGCCTCACAAATCTCTCTCTTACCCAACTGTTCTTTCATTCAGGTTTTCAAAGCATATCATAATCCTTCTAATGCAGCATTTATCATGTTTTATTCTAGTTAATTACATACATGTATGCTGTTCTAATAGAATTTCGTTTCCTATGAGCTCAGGCTCTGTCTGATTTACCTCTGGTTTCTTCACAGCATCTGGCGTAGTACTTTTGAATTACTGACTTACGAACGTATACATATTATATACATTGATGTATGAAATTCAGGTAGGACATCACAAACAAGAGTTATGGGGCTTATGGAAAATCTGCCACACCAGCATACGATCCCCTAACAAAATTTCATATGGTGGAAGCAGGTTTAATGATCACCAAGGTGATTCTTACCAGAAACTACGCCTTGATGATATAATTTCCCATTATATAACTTATAATTCCTGCCTACTTTGTTTTAAATGGCTGGTCAAGAAACACAACCAAAAAAATGACATTTGCTCAGGATTTGAACATATGTGTAGAAGTGAATCAGGTATAATTAGGAGCCAAGGGATATGGGTTTAAGCTACGAAGAACTGGCAACATTATAAACAGAAAACTAAGGAGAAACTCCAATTTCTTCTATTTAAATGTTTTTAAATTTCAGATAGATTTAACATTGTATTATTGTTCTAATAATTTGTACTATATTTTAGGTTGTCTGTTGTAATTTAGAGTCACCATTTCCTTTCTGTTGAGAATATCAGTTATAGAAATCTCCAGAAGTTTATAAGACTTAACTTTGTTATAATTTTCTATCTCATTCATTCAGGATCTGGGGATAGGATTTACCATTTCCCATAACTTCTTTTCTTTGATATTTTTATACTGAACTAAATTGTGGTTTTTTTTTTTTTAAAAAGGCATGAAAACAACATAAAGCCAACTGTAACTTCAACTTCAAATTTGCTAAAAGAAAGATAAAACTACAACAGTGATTAAAACTTCAAGTGAATTCATTTACTTGTCAGATAAGAAAACTCACACAGGTGAACAGCGTTGCCAAATGGTTCTCTAACAGAGAAAATTTATGTTTTCTGTGTGCTAAGAAGATGATATTCACTGTGATTATGCCAATTAATGATAAAGTTTATACCTTGGATAGGGCAGGATGAATTTTAAGTCCCTACATAGTTCATTAAAACAAGTTGCACAGGCAGTACCTGTAGCTCAGTGAGTAGGGGGCTGGCCCCATATACCAAGGGTGACAGGTTCAAAGGTGACCCCTGCCAAACTGCAACAACAACAACAACAACAACAACAACAAAAAATACTGGGCATTATGGTGGACACCTGTAGTCCTACTACTCAGGAGGCTGAGGCAAGATAATTGCCTAAGCCCAAGAGCTAGAGGTTGCTGTGAGCTGTGACATCACAGCACTCTACCCAGAGTGACAAAGTGAGACTCTGTCTCTTAAAAAAATAAAGTTGCGCTATTCATTGGTTAGGAAGGAGTCTTTATTTAAGTCCATCTGTTTTACTGAAGTCTCTCATAATCCTTATCCCTTTGCCAGCTCCGTGGTTCAGTGTTGCCATTTCCTGGACAGGTAGAAAGGTCGTATACAAGTCTTCTACCATTTTTCTCAACTTTGTCACACATTTGTATTGTTTAAACATCATTTTCAAATTGAGTGCTATTTCTGTGTAGTGAAAGTAATGAGAAGTAGCAGTGAGGAGGGAGCAAATGCTTTGAGGCACACAAGTGGGCACCCCTCAGAACCACTACAGTTAGCTAAATGCGAACTGTACATCTGCTACTGATTTTCAAAACGTGCACATTATTTGACTGCAAAACCACCACAATTATTGTCTACCGTAAGGATTCATACTTGGATCTTTTAAAAAAACAGTATTTTCTGTTTAAGTAAAATACTTTTAAAATAAGTAGTTATGGTATTGTCTAAAAATATATTCTTCTATCTTAAAAACACACAAGTGTTTACTTATAGACACAAACATTTTGGTATTAGTGAATATAGAACTTTAGAACTCAAGTTAACATGCTTCTCTTTTAAAGTTTAGGGGAAAGATCTGACTTATTTTAGGCTTTTAGTATCAGTTAAGTCTTTCATAAGTTCTTGATGAAAGTTCTATCTTTAGCAGGGTTTAAAGCACCCTGGCATGTGGTGGGCTCTCAAATACATATTAAACTATGTCAAAAATGTTTTAACTCTCAAACATTTTTGTATAAATCACATCTGATGCTGTGAAAACATTTTAATCTTTTTTTGTTTTTTCATGAAACACCAACCTGGATAAAATCCTAAGGTCAATGAAAGCAAATGTTTGTTTAACAAATATTTATTGCCTTTTAAGAAGCAATGTGCAAGGAGCAAAGGGGGGGACGGGAAAACCAAACTGAGCTCTACCCTCTTGCAGCTGTTTTATTAATAACACTGGGCTGCCTGTCCACACAGGAGTTTACTTTTTATGGGGATTTAACCCAAAAGTGGTTTATTATCTTGTTATCTAACCATGGTCTCACTCTTTCGAACATGGTATGAAAGCTATTTTCTTAAGCTCCCTTCCTGGTTTTTTTTCTCCCCCCTTCCCTCCCCTCTCCTCTAGTCCAATGAAAGAACACTAAGCTGGACAGCTGTGTCATTTTTCTGCCCTTCTTTATAACTCTGATGTTTGCTAAATCAGTAAACCTAAGCACCTTCATTTTTCCAGTGGGGATAATAATTCTTTCCCTGTAACACTCAAATAAGATAAGATACAGTGAATTCTTGTTATTTGTGGTAGCTGTGTTCTGTAAAGTCACTGGGAACACTTCCTTGGTAAATAACTGAACTTTTGCTCCTCAGCAATATGCAAAGTTAGGTTCCTGTTGGGACTCTGGTCACTATGTTTTTGTCAATGATTAATACATAATCATGGGTTTTTTTGTATGTGTTTTTCTGTTTAAAGATACCTTACTAAATATCAGTTCTTTAGCATTGAGCTCACAGACACAGCACTATAATGTGTGCCTAACAGAGCTTATCAAGCACTAGTTACTTTTTAATAAAGCACATCACAGTCTTTTCATACTTAGAACACTGGACCACACTTCAGCACTGTGCTTGAGAGCCATACTAAGCAGCAAAATTATTGAGAAAAAAACACCAAAATGCAAAAAACAAGGCACAAAACAGACCAGGAAAAAGGACACATACTTATAGTGTAAGAGCTGAAACAAGAGAGCCGAGTGTCACCTTGTTCAACCTCAGCGGGGAATGTGCATGTCAGGTGGCTCAAATTTTCCCCACTCTGCACATGTCAGTGAATGACCATAAAAGCACACGCGTATTGATTTGGGGGTTACAGATTTTAGTCTTAACAAGTAGACAAATTTGCAAATACAGAATCTGCAAACAGTGAGAGTCCACTGTATATGAATGTAAAAACTCTTTGAAAGCACGGTATAATTTTCTCAGTGTAATTTGCAGAACAGAAGCTATTTTGGATGACATTTAACTCAGATATAATGAATTTGTGCATAGTGGATATTAAAAATTTCAAGTTCACAAAGTAATAAATACATTATTTGAAAAGTGACCCTGAGTTCTAAGGTCAATAAACTACAAAGAAAACTACTATTACAAGTTCTTTGACCCTCCAGCCTCATATTTAATACACGGTAGCAGGGAAAACCACTGTAATCCAATGCTTTGCACTTAGTGGTGAACATTGTTTCGTGACCTCATTATTGGGGGGAAAATCACTCCTTATGTATTACCAAAATATTATGTTTCCAAATATGTGAAATTCATATGGAA